TGCTTTGTTTAGGCTCATGCTACTAGCTCTAGTGCTTAATTCTAACTTTGCTAGTTGAAGGAGGTGTTAGACCCATATGGACCTAAAGAGGTGTAGAAATAGTGCTGTACTAGAGTATTTCATAGCTGTTTTGTACTCTAGGAGAAAAGAGAACTCTCGTCAGTCGTCACTAGTCAGCAGCCTTAATGTGAAAGGACAACACACGACACGCTTTCAGAGAGAAAAAGAATCGGTGAGTGATTGGTAAGTATAAATTATAAACTATACCGTTGAGACGGTACACCGTCCCATAGTTTTTCTCAAAAAAAATTTAGATCATTGGGGCCGAAGCTGAGTGGCGGCGGCGAGACGTAAGAAGATGGCGCGCCATAGGAGAGGCCCTCACCGTTGGTCGCGGTACACACCGTGGTAGCCACAGAGTCGGTGCCGTGGGTCGCTGAGGTAGACTCGGCCTTGGAATCGACGGTAGATTGGAAGGCCGCGCGAACTGCATGGGTGACAACATAAGGGCATGCAAATACTGGTGTTTAATAACGGGCTCTCTTCATTGTCATGCAAGTAAATTTGGTGACGTGGAAGAAAGAGAGGGAAGAAAGGAGAAACATCGTTGCTACGCATGACAACGGTTCAGAGTCTACTCTTAGCATTTATTAACGGAAAATTTGTTGCATGAGGGTGGAGAAAAGGAAAGAAGTATAACAAAAAAAAATTATTTAGTGCATTAATGGTTTAGAAATCTTATTGTCTCTACTATTATACGAGGATAATCTCTAGTGACATTAATTAATATAGAGAGCTCATATTAGATTCTACCTTTGTATATGCCCTAAGATGAGGTGTCAACGACATTTGTGGGGGGAGAGGGAGAGGGAGAGGTTGGATATGGCACATGGTGGAGAGAAGCGGCGGACGGCTAGGGTTTTAGGCAGAAGCTAGGAAAAACATTTGATACCATGAAAGCGTAACTGAGTCAATGTGATAATTCGATTAAGTGTGGACCACGAGTACAGATAGGCAGAACACTTCATTATCTCTATAATCGACTTATAGAAATAGAACCATGAGAGAATCAGGGAAAACTGGCAAGAAATAGGATAGTTGCCGCAGAGTCGGCAGCGTGGGTCGCTAAGGTGGACTTAACGTCGAAATCAACAGTAGATTGTAAGGCGTGCGTGAACTGCATCGGCGACGATAGAAGACGTGGTATCAATGGCCTCGGTGGAGGAGAAGGGGAGGCTGGACATGTGTGTGGTGAGGGAGAGGTGACACGCAGAGAGAGAGAGAGAGAGAGAGGGGCAATGCGCGGCTAGGGTTTTAGGCGGAAGCTAGGAAAACATCAGATAGCATGAAAGCGTAATTGAGTCAACGCGACAACTCGATTAATTACGGACCACGAGTACATATCGACATGGTACTTCGTTATCTTTACAATCAACTTATAAAAACAAAATCGGGAGGGAATTAGAGAAAAACGGCAAGAGATACAAAACTATATCTCTAACAGGATATCTCCAATCTAGAACCTCAATCAGGATGACAAGGTTCCCATTCCGCTAATCCCTAGAATTTCCTGTGCGCAGGGCGCACATTCTGCTTATCCCTGGAAGTTCATGTGGGAGGGGAGCGATTGTGTGGGGGCAGATGGCAGGCGATCCCGAGAAGTTCGCATGGGAAGGGAACCGAAAATTCTAATGGGTGCACGGTCGTGCGTGACCCAATCCGCGTGGTCAGATCTACCCATTCCTCTTTCGGCTAAGGTGGTTGGATCTCTTTCGGTCTATGTGGTAATAATTTCTATTTTCAGCTAAATAAACACGTGGCCCTTTTTCTTCATGGGTTTAGTCCGTTTCCTCTTTTCCTTTTTTTTTAGGGCTTGGTCTGTTAACATGTGTTCATGGTCCAAATGTGATATAGTATATTTTTTAAAATTTATATGCAAATATAAAGTTTACACACCATTTTTTTTTCATACCTGATGATGTTGTAACTTGAACTACAATAACTCGGTTTTACAAAATTTACTTTTAAATAGTTGCACATTGTCCGACTTCATCCTCTGCCTCTACTTTTTAATTGCAAAGAGAGGTGATCCATTAGGGCTTGTGCTTTCCCGTGGTGCCGCCGCTGCCTTTCCCATGGAAACAACCCCTACCTCCTCCGCTGCTACTCCCACCATGACTACAGGAGATGGAGACTCTCCTCCAGCCAAGGCCCTTGCCGAAGACTATGGATTGTACTGGACAGTGCAGCAGAAGATTGATGACCTTTTGCAGCGATCTGAGCGCAATATCATGCCAAAGCACCCTGAATTCGCTACCTACTAGAAAATGGACGCGCCCAGAAGATTGATATTCATTGCTCCTCTATAGCATATAAATATTATTGGGTTTTCTATAGAATTATTTAGTTTATATTTAAAACAAAAGATATAAATTCAAAAGGACCGAAGCTTTATTCGTTAGCTTTTACTTATTTTTTTAGCCAGTGAGATTTTCTATTTGAGAAGTAATCATTTTTAATGATGTTTTGATAAGTATTGATATATTTATCGTGCAAAGTATTTCGATGGTACATCATGTTCTTTAATATTTATATTTTCTTTTAAACAAATAGCGATCAAGGATGAATGAAATGTTGGTATTAATATTTATATTTTCTTTTAAACAAATAGCGATCAAGGATGAATGAAATGTTGGTGGTATAATATTTAGAGTTTGCAAAATTGTTGTATGGCAAAAAAAAAAAAAAGAAACACTAAGGGTATGTTTGGATCTAAGGCTAGCTTAAGCCTAGCCTGACCTGGCGAGGCCCACCGTTCGGAACCATAAAGTAATTATAACTTTTGAGACAAGATAGCTCAAACGGGTGAGAAAAAGCTATCGTGGTGGAGAGCCAAATTGGATTTCCTTTAACCACAAACGTTTCTTTGCAGGAACTGCCAGTCAAAAAACTAAACAACTAATAATTAAGATGCAGATTTTAACTTGTTTTCCATTAGCACGTTTTTCGAATTGCTAAACGATGTATTTCGTACGAAACAATTTATATATAAGTTGCTTTAAAATATCAAATAGATCTATTTTTTAAGTTTTAAATGATTAAAACTTAATTAATCATAAGCTAATGATTTATCTCGTTTCACATGCGCACTTAATCTTCATCCTAGACTCTGTATAGAACGGAGCCTAAACAGCTTGGTAAAGCAAGATCGGCAACTTTAGCAATCTAGTTTGTCTAGCTGGCAAACAACCAAACGTGGCCTAATACTTTTCACCTTATTCAACTTCCGTTTTAATTTACAAAATTGCAAATATAAAACTATTATTGGAAGATACATAAGATTTTAGAATTTATAAGATTTAAGAAATTTACCACATTACAGAAAATATTTAACAAATTCAAAATTACTCCAATTTGGGATGGGCTCTGTGCGAGGTAAATAAAACTGATATCCCAACGTACAATGCTGGCTCCCCAATTTACAGGCGTTAGACAACCAGGCTGTACAGGCTCCGGTCATCACCAGTCTTAGAAATCCAAGCCTCCCAAGGTCTATTATCGTAAAACATTTGATTGTTGAAATGATCAATCTAGTGGTACTTTTGTGAATATTTTTATTCAGTAGATCATATAATAATTAGTATTTCTAGGGGTGTAAATGCAAAGTTATCAAGAAGGTTGACTCTCTCTCCCGCGGTAAATCTGGTCCTCTTCATCGGCATATCAGGTTTCACCGTACCCTCCGCTCGTCTCTCTCTCTCCATCCTATTTCTCTCGTTCGCTCTCTGTCTTGAGATATTTTTGGCATTCTCTTCTCTTCCATCCCTCGCTATGCTATTGACTTCTCGTTTCTCTCCAGCAGGGCTCACTGTCCCCTGGTGTCGACTCCAGCAACCGCATGCGCTGATGCTCTCCAGTCTGTCGGTTACCAATCAACTCTATTCAGTGGCAATGGCTAGAGCTTCGATTTATCTGTCGTAAAAGGTCCGAATGGAGCTATGAGTATATGATATCCTACTGCAGCGACGATTGAGCTCTTATGTGACTGTGGGATACGGCGTTGAGACGAGCTCAAATGGCTCGTCCACGTGGCTACAGAGTAACAACCACCAGGAAGCAGAAGATGGCTATTGTGCCGAGTAGGTGAAGTAGCTTACGGCATTTTTCTTTCTACTTTTCCCTCTTTGATCCTTATTATTTTCTTATTTTTCATAATCGAAGGAGAAGGAATTTCTTTGGTTGCAAAGGGACAGATCCAATTTTCTTTTGTAACCTCTGGAATCTCTTGCCTTTTTTTTTATTTTGATGATGAAGGAAAAAAGATTTTCCAGAAGCCTCTATAATCTACAACTGCATGCTGGTGTTTTATAGTTTAGCTCAGATTTTTTTCTACCTAACTAAAATATATTTATCTGAAAGTTCACTGTAGATTGCACGGTAAAATGCACGATTAATGATGTAGCATAATCATAGCAGAATCAGAGATTGCATAGGGACACGTGGCTGATTTTCAAATGAGCTAACCTAAATTCTCAATAAGCCACGTGGCCCAATCATCTGCCTCATTTCCATCCCCGAAACCGTATATAGAGATTTCAAGGAAAAGCTGCAGATAGATCTATCTATCTATCGATTCCGTTCTTCAATTCCTTAATCCTCTAGAGCTGCAAGAGAAAAGCTGAATTTTCAAGTTTGTGTTCTAAGAATAATTTTATTTTTCAAGTTTGTAATTATGATGATCAACATAAAGAAAAAAAAAGGGCACGACAAAACACTCTCATCTGTGTAGCAAACGCGCAAAAAATATTTCTATATATGAAATATTTTATATTCCTTTTCTCATATATCGTTGAATAATATAATATTATTGATAGATTTTCTTGCACCATTTATAGTAGGATGGTCATAGTCACACGAATGTGACTTCAAACACTAGTTAGGATGAATTTTGGGAGTATGTACAGCTACTGGAAACTCCCTAAAACAGGGCGCAACGAACATAGCAAATCCAACACAACTCAACTTCTGATCACATCAAAGAATCTTTATTGTTATAGCTTATTGGAGTATCTGTCCGGCTGTCGGCTCATAAATCCTAGTATTCTAGATCAAGAAAACCATATCAGCATCCTTACTAGTTGTTACCCATGGGACATCGCATACAAGAAACAAATCAAGCTGACAGCAAGAGGCGCACATGCTGACGCCACACTAGAACTTCCAGTAGAGGGGAGGACTGGCTGGAGAATGGTAGGCGTAGCTGATGATGGTTTGCTGTCGAATTCGCGGCATTGCTGGGTTAGACGCTCTCGTTCTGCACCTGGAACCATGCAAGCCCCGGTTGACCGCAGCGTCTTGATTCAGGGATGGGTACAATTGGCCCCAAGAATATGCGCCACAGGTCGAGGATTATTGTTACAAGCATAGCTGCACCCAAGGCGTCGACGGCCACTCTGGAAAGGCTCCACTTCTCTTCATTTTCATCGATCCTGAATGGAAAATCACATGTAGTTATACAAAGCTACGGACATATTCAGAACTATCCAGTGTCATAACAGCAGCAGAATTCATGCTGTGCAGGTCTATTCATGGTGATTACAGTATGGATATGGGTGCATGGCTGTAGCTATGCTCTTGATAGATGATTTGTTTCAAGGGACAAGTGTGCTAATGCATTATTCTAGAATTTTATTCACTTAGTGGCCATGTACCCAGTTGGTGTAAATAGATGGTATTGGAGTAAGGAATTTGACAAAGCTATTAACCATTACAGCTAGACAACTTGATGTTTAACTGCATAACAGAAACAGGGAAACAAACATATTTCAAACCAAACAGATGAATAGCCAACATTGAAATAGGAGTAAATAACTATAACGATAATTCTGACTAATTTCACCTTGAAAACATTGGGAAGCTGACGATGAAGTATATTGCATAAAACAGTGAGCCTACTTTGTACATTATATCCCTGTCGATGAATTCATAATACGGAAACTGCAAAGGTCACAGAAAACATCAGGCACAAAGGGAAATAATAGTATTGTGAAAAACAAAGTAAAAAAGGTGGGAACAACTTCACTATCATATGTTATCATAATAGGACATTGTAAAACACTTCTCCATCCTATGTAACTTGGCCACTTTGACCAAAAGAAAATATAGTACGCATTAAATATTGACCCTAGAACAGCAAGAGTGAGCACATAAGTTTGCTAGTATCATCTCAAGAATAATTGGTCCAATATTCACAACAACAGATTTGTAGAAAACAATCACAATTACAGATTGTAGAAAACCTTCTCCCAGTGTTCAAAAGTAGTGTACCCAGAGGGTCTGTCTAATGGTATCTGACCTGACTGGAAGGCATTACCACAGATTTTCTGTTGTGCAATTCACAGCAAGCTATACGTAATGTAGTAAATTGGATCCAACAGAGTAGTTCATTTCATAAAACAGAACACAGATTTACTGAACCCTACGTCCGTACCACTAAATGGAAATTGAAAGAACATGATAATTAAATAGCACTAGGCAGAAGAAATCTGTGTATTATTAATACTCTATGCAAGAGAGAACATACATTTGCAATGGCTAAGGTTTCCAGGTAAGCTATGAAGTATGAGAGTGCTAAAACCCATGCAGCTTCAAATGACCATCGAAGAAACTGGGGCAAATGAGCTGTAGAATGATGTAATTTGCGAAGGCTCATATTTGATGTCATGTGATAGAAAAGAAAGCAAGCGTGGGTCAGGAGAAATGTTGTATGGGGTACCTGAAACATGAAAGAAATTTAACAAGCAATAAGAACAAAGAAACAAGAACACATTTGTTAGTTCAACTTGCAAGTAATGTAGTACACAGCAATCACTAGTAAAAGTGAATGGACTTGAACTATTGGCCACTTTTCCATATTTACACTATGAGCAATATCCTTCACGAAACAGTTGCAGAATAGAATCTATTTTGGCTTGTAGTGACCTCAGATTTTAATATAGGAGAACAGGAGGGAATGTATGAAGTGTTCTTAAGCATAGCATTTAAAAAAAATAATAAAAACAATCTTTAATCTGAAGGTAACTAAAACATTCTTAAAGAGCACTAGTACATGTGAAATTCTCAGACCCCATCATTACTTGCAAGTTGCAACACTAAATGGAAACTAACGAAAGATAAGAAAGCAAGCAAATGTCAAGTCAAAATTTTCTTCCATTATCTATCAAAATGCATGGTCAAATCATCTCCAAATCAAAACGGCAGTGGAGAGTGGAGACAGGACTTTCCCATATTCTTGTTCTGTACTTCTGCGACAAATAACAGAGGATACAAGCAAATAGCTGAGAGGAGAAACAACAGTATGGTACAAGTTTTTTGAGATTATTAGCAGAATGTTTGAGAGGTAGAAGGAAATGACTGGGCACATGATAGAGGAACATATATGAAAGAAACAGGAGCATAGGAAAGATAGAGAGGATTAATTGATTTATATCTTGTTCGCATTGATAGATAATGGCAGCCCTCTTTTACATACAGAAGTCCCTAACATAATAAATTAATAAAATTCTAGAAGGTTATGACAGATAAAAGTCAACAGTAACACTGACCGAGCTTCAACAAAAGGAAATTTTGTTGTAGGCAATGTTCAAGTGAGCCATATGGTTCAGCCATTAAAAGGAGCATATGCATTTCATTTTTGTGAGCATATGCATTTCTTCCCCCCATTTTCCCAACCCACCTCTCTCGTTTTCCGCGCGCATGCTTTTCAAACCGCTAAACGGTGATTTATGTAAAAAATTTCTATATGAAAGTTGTTTTGAAAAATCATATTAATCCATTTTTTCCTAACCCCTCCTCCCAAACACAGCCTTAGGCTGTGTTCTTTGCCCTGAGTTCTCAACCCATCTCCCTCGTTTTCCGTGCGCACGCTTTTCAAACTGCTAAACGGTGGTGTTTTGCAAAAAGTTTCTATAGGAAAGTTGCTTTAAAAAATCATATTAATCCATTTTTCAAGTTTTTTATACTTAATACTTAATTAATAATGCGTTAATCTATCGCTCCGTTTTGCATGTGGAGAGGAGGGGTTCCCAACCCCTCCAAAAGAACACAGCCTAAGTGCCATTAGGTAAACTTTCAGATCATAGTCCAATGCATTACAGTGGCCGGTGTTTGTATAGAAGTTACTTTTTAAAATTTGTTTTCACGACCCAAGGCCATTATGGGATAAACACCGCTGGGAGGATAGCCGGGCAGCAGCGGCTACTAGGGGTGAGAGGTAGATTTAGGTTGGGAAGGGCATTGAGAGGTATTGGATTAAACTAATCTGATTTATTACTTAATGGTAAAGGGATACAATCCATCCTTAGATGGGACGACTTAACCCCTAAGAAAGGACTCAATCTAATACCACCTAACAGACTGATACAGTACCGCGCTACAGTACCGAGAGGGTGTTGGGTGGGCTCGCCCCCCTGGCTGAATGTCCATGACAGTTGCATGGAAGAGTTGCAAGAAAAAAAAAAGAACAGAAATACTGTTGAATCCGTGTTTGAAAACATCAGCGCATATTGCAATGCTAGCAGTTGTGCAGATTATCGTTTGCATGCATCCCATTTGGTCAACAATAACATGAGGACAGTCTTACGTTGTTCATCCTCCATGATGGGAAAGTGTATGATGCACCAAGAACTGTGAAGAAGTAATGCGTCCAAAAGTAATTACCAACATAGCTGAAAATTATAATCCAAATATTAGCCTGCAACAGAAAGATGTGAGATTTAGCAAAACTGTTCAAAGAGATAAAGTAAAGAGAATATGATTTTTGCTACCAATTTGCCCATACACAACTGAGAAGTACTGTTGTATTTAATTGTATTAGCAGGTGTACAAAATTAAGTATAACTGTAGCAGTAAATAATTTACAACAGTAGTAAATGTTTTTGTACAGTAGCGTAGTAAAACAACCATATAAGGTAGTTAATAGTGTTATTTCACCAAGATCAAATGTAACCAAATTGATGATATTTCAATGTATCAGCTATTCTTTCCACAGTAAATTTTGCCTGAGAAAATGAAAGTGTTTACTCAATAAAGTAAAGTTTATAAGCTGTAGCGAAAACACGTTACAGGATCAAATTTATTGAAAAGATACAGCTTTGGCCTTCTTTCGCTACATTTTCTTTTAGAACTCAGTTTGTCTTTCAGAAGATCGTATAAAACACTTACCTTAACCCAATACCGATCTTTCAAACTTCTAACACTATCTGCCTGAAAAATTAAAACATTAGCAAAATTAGCTTCTAAGTCATGGTTACTGAATTCAAGATAAGAAATACAATTTCATGGACGAAGTTTAACAAAAGAATACACTTTGTAAGCCAAAGAACAGTATGAGAGGATCATGGTAGAAATGGTCTGGTGCTGGTACAGAAGTACATGAGAATATTTTAATGTCCCCACCTCCCAGGTGCCATCTACTACCTCCCTCCCAAAATATAGCTATTTCTAGCACCGTACCTTGTCCCAAAATGAAGCTATTTCTCCACATACCTCCTCTCAACCAATCACAACCATTCTCCTTCACCTAATTTATCTTCTCCACCAATCACGACCTTCCTTCAATCATTCCCACCTACTCTCTTAATACACGTGCCAACCTCTAAAATGCTTACATTTTGGGATGGAGGAAGTAGCTCTTAACCAGAAAATATTGTGTTTTTAGCAAAGCTAGGAATTTTCATGTCTCAGAGAAAACACCATCAAATTGAGGTGCCATGTAGCCAATTTCCCTCATTTGTCACTAAACTACTTAGCCAGACAACAGGTATTCCTTCCTCAGTTGGGAAAGCAACAAAAACTAGTATTATGTCTCTCCCGTACTTGATTTGGGTGCAGTCATAGTTGTGACCACAAAATAAGCAGTAGCCCCAATTTAAGCCATGAGAAGACAATCACAACTAGGACCGCACATGATCCCAGTCCTTTCCAATATCCTCTCAGCTCTTACACTCAGCTCCCACTACTCTCTCCCTCCATCTAAAACTTACCAGCCTGTGGCTGTCCCAGGAGTATTTAATAGTTTACCCTCCAAATTTTGGTGTTCTTGCGATTAATACATCAAACAGGCTCATGTGTATACGTCATTGGATCACTGCTGCTATGTCAACTGTCAAGCACCAGAAAGTCAGAAAGTACTTTGACCATTTATGGTCGACGTGCGTATAGCTAATAATTCTGGTTTCTGTCTTGCCCACAATATGTGTCAAACTGTCAATCAGTCATTTCTATGAACAATATAGCAAAACACTACTCTCCCAACATTGTTCTTTTAACTAAAAGAAAATAAAGCAAGCCTCTAATTACCCTACCTCTAAAGAACCAACAGTTAATTATACGATCACATCAGTTAGATCCCAATTCAGAGTCGATGTATTTTGAGGAGAGATGGAGCCAAAAGTACCTTGCCTACGAGGAAGAGCGGGATGACGAAGGCAGGCACTGTGGACACCAACCCAACAACTAGGTACTCCAGCTCCGTGAACCTCTGCACATAGCAACAAAAAATATATATTATTTTTATCACCCGACCTAATATCCATTTTGAAATCGCCGAGATCCGATCTCCCCTCAAAGAACCGGATGCGGAAGATCCAACAAGGCGTCCCCAAACTCGCCCAAGATTCAGACGTATCGAGCGAGAAGAGAAGGAAAGAACGGATGGATGGATGGGTGGCTACCTCGTAGAGCTTGAAGGGGACGACGACGCCGAGGCAGAGCGTGAGCCAGAAGGGCGTGTAGAGCAGGAAGAACGTCTCCCCCCACCGCTTGCTCCCGTCAGCCGCCATCCACCGGCTCGTCCTCCCCGCCCCTCCTCCATTCCTCGCCTTCGCCGCCGCCGGCCGCCGCGGGGCTGCAGACAAAAAAAAAAAAGAAGAAATGAAAAGAAAGCTCCGGTGAGGGAGGGTAAACGCGCCGGCTGAGGTGCCGCCATTGGTGGCGGCTCACCTGCCATTCGCCGTTCCGGCGGTGAGTAATCGGAGTGGAGGCGCGTGCGTGGGGTGGTGAGTGGTGTTGTGTGGTGGGTGGGTGGCAGCGAGTGCTCGTGGTGGTATCGTCACCTCTCCAACCAGAACGATCTTGACCGCCACATCTTGAAAAACTTCCATGGCCGAGGGGGTGCTTGATATACAGGTATAAAGTTTCGGGCGTGTCACATCGGATATTATATATGGTGTTCGGGTACTAATAAAAAAACTAATTACAGAATCCATCCATAAACCGCGAGATAAATTTATTAAGCCTAATTAATTCGTCATTAGCAAATGCTTAACGTAGCACCACATTGTCAAATCATGGAGCAATTAGGCTTAAAAGATTCATCTCGTAAATTAGTCACAATTTGTGCAATTAGTTATTTTATAGCCTATATTTAATACTTTATGCATGTGTTTAAACACGTTGGCAGACCAACAGGGGTCGGTGCCCAAAACAAAAATTACCTTTACTTAGTTTAGATAATTAAAACGCATAGAAAATCCTCTCTAGCCTAGGTAGCCTACCAATAATTGTTGTCCTTGGATAGTCTCCTTAGGTAGCATACACATGTTCCCTAAGTTCGATATCCTTTTCTGGTCACTCGAAGGTAAAGTGTTACCGCGGTATTCCGTGCGCTTGCAGATTTATGTATGGTCGTAAGAAATACCAACAAGCATTTATGGCGCCATTGCTGTGGACGGTTGCTAATTTATCCGAATCTAGGTTATTCTTGTATCTTTATTTTTATTTCATCTTCTTTCATTCATTTCCTTGATGGAGCAACCCACAATTCAAAACCTTTCAGCTCCTCGGGTTGATCTTTGTGAGCCGTACTGTTCTTCAAAACCAATCCTTTCGGATGGCTACGAAATCAGTCATGCCTTTATAGCCATGGTTTGAGAGCAAACCTTCTATGGTGGTATTAGTGAAAACCCATACCTCTGTCTTCGGGACTTTGAGCTAGTGCGTTCATGCCTACAAACTTTAAAGTGAAAGTTGTTTCCTTTTTCTTTTAGAGATGAAGCGAAGCAATGGTACATTCTTTCAGTCAAGAAATTCCACGGTGAATGGGAGGGGCTTAAGTGTAAGTTCTGCCTTACTTTCTTTCCATTAATCCGTGTGATTAATCTTCGATTAGACATCCTTTCTTTCTGACAGAACGAGAAGGAATCTCTCGGTGCAACCTGGACCAGGTTTTCATTGTTAACTCAGTATGGCACAGACTTGTCTTTACACGACCATGTGTTGTTACAATATTTTCGGTATGGGTTAGACAAGGCGTCTGCTGAAGATCTCGATATTTCCGCCGGAAGATCGTTCGCACACAAGACAACCGCCGAAGGAAGATAACTCTTAGATCTGATATGAGAGAACAATTCTTTCAGCTCAAGCGAAGTTGTCCCGTATCCATGAGGAACCTCTGTTGAATCCTCATCCTAGTCGCAAGAACCGGAGGAAGAAGAAATTCATTCTCCGGAAATACAATTTCAGTTCGAGGAGGATCTTTTCGAAGATTATGGAAACACCTCGAATTATTCCTGCAAGAAGAGACCACCAACCAAGGTCAATTCTGATGAACCTCTCAATAAAGCTATGCTTAAAGAGATGGTGAAGAGATTGATCAACATCATGAGTAATAAATGGTCGAGGGAAGGAGAGCTCTCTTCTGAAGCAATTCTGATCGGTTGCCTCTCCTCAACCGTTACGTGTCTCACTAGAGGAAATTTGGTTCGTGCTTGCTATAATCCCTCTGTTGGTGCTAATATTATATCCACAACCTTTGCATTTGATTGCTTAGGGGATAGACCGTTGGAACCAACCATCAAAACCTTCTAAATTTCCACAAACTCTACGACCGAAGGTTTAGGGATTATCTCTGGAGTGCATATGCGGCATAACGGCATTGAGGCCATCTTAGATTTCCATGTGTTCGACATATCTGATTTCGACATACTTATTGGCCATCCCATAGAGAAACTCTTTGATGTGTCCGAAATCGGTGTACTCAACCTGAAAATAGGAAGAATCGCCACCTCTGTCCCTGTGCTACCATCAATCAATTCTTTGATGGAGCTTCTTCCTGTTCCCGAGCTAATTGAGAAAGTGATGGTCGTTTTCTCCATTCATGCCCCTAGAGTCTACACTCAATGAATCCATTGAAGAATTCAATGAAGGGGAGGATGAATATGGAGAAGCGATTGATCTGTCAAAAAGGGATCAGCCGTCAGGAACCCCAATTGAGCTAAAGCCCTTACGTTCAGGCCTACGTTATGACTTTCTAAATGGCGATGCGGAGTCTCTAGTCATTATAAGTGACACTCTCTGAGAGGGAGACGGCCCGACTTATTGCTATTTTAGAAAAGCATCATGTTGTTTTTGGCTATTCCCTCCAAGACTTAAAATGCATCAGTCCAACCCTTTGCACTCATCGCATTCCCTTAGACCTGTCTTGCACACCATCTAGGGAACCTCAGGAGGAGGCTAAGTAATGCCATGAGGGAGGTCGTCAAAAAAGAAGTCTTAAAACTCATACATACCGGGATTATCTATCCCGTGCCATATAGTGAATGGGTTAGCCCTGTTCAAGTAGTGCCTAAAAAGGGAGGCATGATGGTCGTTGAAAACTCGAACAATGAGTTGATTCCACAACGAACCGTCATGGAGATGGAGGATATGTATTGACTATAAAAACTCAACAAGGCTACTATGAAGGATCACTTCTCGCCACCACAATCAGCGCAGCTGTGTTCCAGCCTTTCCACCGGCGCCGCTGCCTCCACAAGTCTTGCTGGTTCGGCCTTCGGCAGGTTTAGCTACTCCGCAACCATATGCCTAGGGTGTGGCGCCGGTATCCTCCCAGCCGCGCACGGGTTCTATTCTGCTGGTGAGACCTAATTCCGCTAAAAGTGACAATTATGATTCCCCATTAGTCCTAATTTCGATTTTGTTGTTCAACTTAATGGTGCCTTTTAGATTTGTAGTTGCCAGTTGAGCGACGTTGATGCTTTTGAGTGTCCTGCAGATCTCTAGCAAAATCCTGCACCGCCACACTCGCTGTAATCTATTTCTCCTCTGTTTACTTCGATGGATGGATAAATGATAATGCAGGAAGCCCTGCAACACAAATTTCGGCAGTGACAGGTAATATTTATATGTCGAAATCAATTATACATTCCAAGTGGTTGAATTATGCAATTTTTTTTTGACATGGAAGAATTATGCAATTTCACTGAAGAGGGAAAGGGCCTTCTACCTTTTTGCTGTCACATAGGTTGTGGTTTGGCAAATCACAGTGTGCATATCATGCATCACTTTCATTGTGCATAGTTTTTGGTCAGTAAGAATATTTGGATCCATACAAATGTTCTTCTGATGAAATGCAAAGTGAAGAGAAGAGAATGATATTTACGTCTATTGTCAGAGCGGAGAGCAGCTTGTGCAACAGTCTGGATGCAATCCAGTGTTCCTACTTCCTAGAGCCACAACAGCACCACCTGTTCGGCTGCTCCCCATCCTTTCCCTGTATTGTTCATATTATGAATTGCCCCCCTCCAAAACTATAGAGGTCGACCGAATTACGCCCCCGAACTCGAAAACCAGATATTTTACACCCTTAACTATTGAAACCGGATAAATAACCCCCCGACTCAATCCGGAGTGGTTTTGGGTCCATGTGGCAGTTCAGTCAGCATTTCTTTTTTAAAAAAATAGTGGGCCCCACCTATAAGTTCTCCACCCCTCTATCTCTCTCTACTCTATCCCAATCTCTCCCTCTCTCTCTCTTCTTACCAGTACAGCGGCAGTCGTGCGAGCTAGGGCGGGAGCAGGCAGAGCTTGCCCGGGCGCTGCCGGCGGTGGAGGGCGGCGGGACGGAGGCGGCCGCCGGCCACACACGCTTGCACCTGCGTCGCCGCCGCCGACGCCCTCCTCCACGGCGTCCTCGGTCGCTGTCACCGCCACCGAGTGCGGGTGCCAGGACGACATGAACGCGTACGCGGTACAGTTCAACGCCGCCGCCAAGAACCTCCTCGAGCGGCTCAACGCGAAGCTCCCCAGCGCGAGCATGTCCCTCACCGACTGCTACTCCATCGTCATGGAGCTCATCGAGCACCCGCAGAAGTACGGGCTCAAGTTAGTTATCATGCAAGTAAACTAATCACATGCTTAACTAACAGCCATGGTAAGCGAGTCTTACGCCACTTCTCGCAGCATGCACAACGTTTAGATGCCATGCAAGACTCCACTCCTATTCCTCGCGGCAGGAAATCACATCCTTGCTTTTGATCAGGAGTTCAGGACTGAAGAACTTCTTGTCTTCTTGCACTTTGCCATGTACTGACTTGACCTCACCACCGTGACTCACATGCAAGCTAACAGAAAATAAAATGCTAAGCACAAGACTTAATCCAACATCGCACACGTCGTGTTGTGACGTGGACACGACGGTGGGCGGGCTGTGCCTGCCGACGGCGCAGCTCTGCGACGACCGCACGGCGTTCGTGTTCTGGGACGCCTACCACACCTCCGACGCCGCCAACCAGGTCATCGCCGACCGCCTCTACGCCGACATGGTGAGCGCTGGCGCGGTGCAGGGGAGCGGGAACGCCACCACCCGCCTCCACCCGCGCGCCTCGCGTTGTCGTCGACGGCGGCGCGCCGTCGAGCCACGCCGCGCCACCTCCAAAGCCTTGAAGTACATACAACAGATCGATTGGCCGCCGAGCGCCGGCACAAAGCCGTCGCCTTTACGGTACGACGACGAGTAGGAGCGTGGCGGCGTGGTCTGGACATGGACGTCCGAGGAGAGGAATTGGCGTCGCCGGCCCACCCGCGGCGACCGCGTCGTCGGTCGATAAGGAGGAGGTCGAAGAGCACCTTCCGCCTCCGCCTCCACCACTGGTTGCCCGGGAGAACTCCACCTCCCGCTGCCGGCCGCCCGCCGCTTGCCGCCGCCGGCAGCGCCCGAGCAAGCTCTGCCTGCTCCCGTCCTCGCACGCCGCCGCCGTGCTGGTGAGAAGAGAGAGAGGGAGGGAGAGATTGGGATATAGTAGAGAGGGAAGCAGATCCTTTGACTCAACTGCACAACAGTTAAATCAGAGGATCCTTTTCCAGTAGAGAGAGGGGTGGAGAA